GTCTCAGAAAAGAGTGTGTGCTTAGGGCCAGAGGCAGCTGGATCTGGGGGCAGTGAGGGCCTGGGCTTGGCAGCCTGGCGGTCATGGAAGAGAGGAGCAGGGAAGTGTGTCAGGTGCCTTCCCAGGATGTCAGGGCGGGAGAGGCTCAGTACCAGACGCTCACTGCTTCTCAGGCCGTGACTCCTTGAAGACCCTTCCCTGTGCAAACAGGAGGCTGTGGAAGTTCAGGGCAGGGACTAGGAATTCAGAAAGAAAACACAACTTTGGGCTGAGGGGATCCCTCGAACATCAGACTCACTGGCTTATTCTTGTTCCAGAGCCAGCAGGGGCTCCAGGCAGGAGATTTCTTGGGAACTTGGCTGATATCAGCAGCTTTGGGAGGTGGCTTGGAGAAATCAATCCTAAGTCATGCCATTACCCTGGCAGGAAGGGTCGGGGGGAGGTGGGAGAGTCTGGTCCCTGAGAGCTTGTTTGAATGCCCAGCTTCTGAGCAACACATCTCTGTTAGCAGAACTTCCAGGTCTCCTTGGATGTGTAGTTTAGGAAACCCCAGTGCCTCCTTCCCTGTGCTGACCACCAGGGACATAGGAATAACTCAGGCCATCCCATGGGGGAGGCAGACATGTCCACAGTACTCACGCAGGATGCCCAGGAAGAATCAGGAACACCCAGGGCTATGGGAGGCCAGGGAGAGCTTTCACGAAACTTGGGGCTCTGGGGAGGCTCCCTGAAGGAGGTAATATCTGAGCTGAGATTCGAAGGGTCAGGAGGTGTCAAGGGACAAGTTCTGGAGGGGTGAGATCCTGGTCATGTACCTGTTAAAAAGCTTGGTCTGGCTACAAGTGAGAGCATGGGTTGGTGGGCCCTCCACCCCCTAACCTGACAGTGGCCAAGGGAATGGTGAGAAAAGGGCTATGAGGGATGTTAAAGGCAGGTTGGGGGTGGTGAGGAGGTCGGTGTGGCTGTACTAGGTATGTAGGGCCTGGGTGACACCCCCCAGAGGCAGCCAGGAGCCTGCTATCTCAAATGAGAGGCAGAGATTGGGTGGCCTTGGCTGCGCCTGGTAACTGAAGCCGTGGGAGTGGACAAGATGGCCCAGGA